AAGTCCCTTCTTGCTTCAACCACCTGAGCTCTGTTACTACTACAAATTTATCTTCCATCTTTTTTAGCTCCGTAAAGCCAAAATCAAGCAATGCTCCTACAGCTGCAGTTTTACTGTAGGAGAAATTGGTTCTCGTCCTCGCGTCCGCCTCTCCTCTTCGGTACCAATTATTTGCTTCCCATCTCCTCTTCCCTCCAGAAGATTTCCTGGATGTTAGGAAGTGTAATGGTCCCTTCTGATTATTTGAATGTGCAGATGACATCTATAAAACTAAATGGTGAGAATTATGTGTCTTGGGCTAAATCTGTTGAAGTTTTTCTGAAAGATAAGAAGAAAGTGAAGCATGTGAAGGAAGATAAACCCCTAACTGATTCTCAGGGATATGATGAGTGGGAGCAAGAGGATGCTCAAATTATGACATGGCTCTGGAACAGTACGGAACCCAAAATCAGTGTGAAGTTCATGTTTTTAGATACAACCAAGGAGATCTGGGATCATGCAAGAAAGCTTTATTCTGGACAAGACAACACTACTAGGGTTTACCAACTGTACCAAGAGTATTTCAATTTGCAACAAGGGAATCAGAGTCTTGAAGACTATTATGCAAGTATGAGAAATCTGCAAAATGAGTTGAATGTGCATCACCCTGTTACACCTGATATCAAAATTCAGCAGCAATAGAGAGAGCAGTTGGATGTGACCAGGTTCTTAGTAGGGTTGCAGTCTATATAAGCCAATAAGGGCACAAATACTAGGTGGATCTGCTCTTCCCTCTCTTGAAGAAGTATTTGCTCATCTCCGAAGGATCTTGGTTGGACCCACGGAGTAACTCCACCATATCAGATAGGTCTGCATTTGCGGTAACAAAAGGGGGAGGCTGTGGAGGTAGAGGAGGAGTTCGAGAAGGTCAATCTGGCCATGGTAGTGGTGGTAGACCCATGTATGGTCGTGGTGGTGGTGGTGTCATGTACAATCGTGGTGGTGATCATGTTGGAGGTCAAGACTCAGGGGGAGCCCGTGGCAGAGGACTTAATAATGGTTAGAGGAGGTGTACACATTGTGGTATGGAGGAGCATACTATCAACTTCTGCTATAATCTACATGCCCACCTTCAACCTAGGCAAATCATGCAACCGTAAATGGTGGTGGTTCGAGACAGGAATCTCAGCAAACTAATCAGATACCCTTTACATGTACAGATGCCTCCGGAAAGGAGATGTTGAGTGTTCCACGGGATGAGTATGAGCGGTTCATTCAGGTACGTCTTAGCAGAACACGGCTACCCTTGCACACTCAGGTATGGCTCGTCTGGCATCCAAACCCTCCTATTGGATTATAAATTCTAGAGTCTCCGATCATATGACTGAGACACCAAGTGTGTTTTCATCCCTTTCTCCATCATCCACATCACAATCTGTTACTCTTGCCAATGGTTCTACATTTCTATATGTGGTATTGGTAATGTTGACACAAACTCATTATTCCTATCCTCAATTTTATATGTTCCCAAGTTTCCCTTTAACCCAGTGACTATTAGTAAATTGACTAAGTCTCTTAATTGCTCTATCACTTTTTACCCTTCTTGTGTGTTTTAGGATCTCAAGACAGGGATGAAGATTGGTGGAGGGCATAAAGCTAATGGATTGTATTACATTGATGGAGGTGGTTCGACAACAACCCTTCAGACATCTCTTTCTCCTCTTCAGTGGCACTGCAGACTTGGCCATCCGTCTCTTAAAGCTCTTTAGTTACTTGTTCCATCATTGAGTCATCTTTCTACTTTGAATTGTGAGTCATGTCAGTTTGGGAAATATCATCGTGTTCCCTTTAGTCCTAGAGTTGATAGTCGTATGTCAAGTCATTTTTCTTTACTCCATTCGGACATCTGAAATCCAACCAAAATAGTGTCTTATAATGGTTACAAGTACTTTGTAATTTTTGTTGATGATTATTCAAGGATGACATGGCTTTACCTTATGAAAGAAATGAGTGAATTGTTTTCTATCTTCCAAAAATTTTATGCTGAGATTCACAATCAATTTGGTATACACATTAAAATTCTTCATTTTGATAATGGCCGCGAGTATTTTTACACACCATTTCAAGAATATTTGGAACAACATGGCATTATCCATCAAACCTCGTGTACCTACACCCCTTAACAAAATGGGGTGGCTAAGAGAAAGAACCGTCACCTTTTGGAAACTGCTCAGTCCCTCTTACATCATATGAATGTTCCCAAACACTTTTGGAGTGATGCTATGCTTACATCTTGCTTCCTTATTAACCGCATGCCCATGTCTACCCTTGAAGGTCAATCTCCATTCTCCGTTTTGTTTCCTACTTTATCTCCTTTTCCTCTTACTCCCAGAGTTTTTGGGGGTGTGTGTTTTTTGTTTATAATCTTGGGCCTAGAATGGAAAAATTAGATGCTTGATCCACTAAGTGTATCTTCCTTGACTATTCCAAGACTCAAAAGGGTATAAGTGTTATAACCCCAGTTCCCAACATTCTTTTGTCTGTTCCGATGTTACATTCTTTGAGTTTGTTCCTTTTTTCTCTGGGTCAGGTGTTTCTTCTCTTCCATCACTATCACCTCCTCTTCCAGTTCCTGTTGAGAACCCAATTCCTCTTGTCCCAATTGTGACCAAGTCTTTGCCTCCAATGCAACTTCCTGTTAAACGACCACCCATCCGGCAAGTGTATATGCATCGTCAGGTATCGGCTCCTCCTCCAGCTTCGTCACCGTCGACAGATCCGGCAATTGTTCCCACCCTAGCCCCACCCCCTATTTCTAACCTTGATCTTCCCATTGCTTTGCGGAAAGGTAAACGCAGTTGCACTCTTCACCCCATTTCCAATTATGTTTCTGTATCTCATCTTTCAGCACCCCATCGCCAATTTGTTTCTATGTTATCCTCTGTCTCTGTTCCAAAGGATGTCCAAGAAGCTCTCACTTCTTCAGGGCAGCACCAAGCAATAGAGGAAGAATTCTCAGCCTTGACTCGTATTCATACGTGGGACCCCACCACTCTTCCACCTGGTAAGCATGTTATAAGCTGTAAGTGGGTGTACACTATTAAATATTTGCTTGATGGGAATGTTGAACGGTTGAAAACTCAGTTAGTTGCCAAAGGTTATTCACAGTTGTATGGTATCGGTTACACAGACACCTTTTCCCCTGTTGCCATAATTGGTTTCGTTCGTGTTCTGATCTCTCTTGTTGCTATGTATGATTGGCCCTTGTTTCAGCTTGACATCAAGAACGCCTTCTTACATGGTGATCTCCTTGAGGAAGTGTACATGGAGTAACCACCAAGGTTTGTTGCTCAGGGGGAACGTGATAAGGTATGTAGACTTAAGAAGGCTATTTATGGGTTCAAACAATCTCCCCGTGCAAGGTTTGGTAGATTCAGTGAAGTGGTGAAGAAGTTTGGCATGAAATAGTGTCAGGTTGACCATTAAAGTATTCAGCTATGAGTCCAGTGTTGGGAAGATCCTATTGATGGTATATGTAGATGATATTGTTATCACTGGCAGTGATAGACCAGGGATTGGCAGGTTGAAAACTTACTTGCGTGATCATTTCCAGACAAAGGATCTTGGCAAATTAAGATACTTCCTAGGGATAGAAGTAGCGAGGTCCAAGAATGGTATTAATCTATGCCAGAGGAAATATGTCCTTGATCTGCTAGAGGAAACAGGGTTGTTAGGGGCCAAACCAACTGAAACACCCATAGAACCGAATGTTAAGTTGAATAGTGATGCAAGTGAGGAGTTTGAAGATCCTGGAAGGTACAGAAGGTTGGTAGGTAAGCTAAATTACTTAACAATCACTCAACCCGATATCTCATTTGCAGTTAGTGTAGTGAGTCATTTTATGCAGAATCCTCGAATTCCACATTGGGAGCCGGTTCTAAGGTTTGTGCGGTACTAGAAGGGAGCTCCAGGTCATGGTTTGTTATATAAGAGTGGAGGAAGTCTTGAGATAGAGGGATATACGGATGTTGATTGGACCGGTTCCATATCTAACAGAAGGTCCACTACAGGGTATTGCACTTATCTTAATGGCAACTTAGTGACATGGAAGAGTAAGGAGCAAACAATGGTAGCAAGAAGTAGTGTAGAGGCTGAATATAGAGCCATGGCACACACATCATGTGAGCTAGTGTGGTTGAAGCATCTCCCAGAGGAAATGGGGTACTCAATTGACACTCCTATAAAGCTATATTGCAATAATCAATATGCAATTCATATCTCCTCTAATCCAATGTTTCATGAAAGAATGAAGCATATAGAAGTTGATTGCCATTTTGTACGTGAGAAGGTGCTCAATGGAGTGATAAGTACAACATATGTGAACACAGGAAATCAATGGGCAGATCTGTTTACCAAAGGGTTGAGTTGGGGAAGAGTGGACTACATATGTAACAAGCTGGGACTATATAACATATACTCACCAGCTTAAGGGGGAGTGTTAGAGTTGGCTGTAGAAGGCTAGTATAGGCTTTATACATTAAGTTATATGTTAAATGTAATTATGAGTAGATCTTAAGTTAGCTGATGTGTCTCTCACTTAAGTGAGGGCATAAGAGTAATTTTGTTTTGTTTAGAAAGATATAAATAAAGTCTGGCCGACTAGAGAAGAGACTTTTCCTCCCTAGTTCGACTAAAACAGTTTCTCTCCTCTTCTCTTTTCTTCTTCTTCTTCTTATTATTATTATCTGAAATTGTACGGACACTACATCTGAATTTTATCAAATATAAATTCATCAAATGCATGAACAAATATCCTTGATGATTATTCTTAGACAACAAATCAATACTCGGTGGAACATACTGTACATGATAAGCTTTTAAGCATATGACAATCTAATTTCTGTCAATAACCATGCAAACTCCATTAAGCTTTCCAGTGCAGCAGTACTTACCATGAATTGAAACTAACAAAAAGGAAAAAGAAAGATAGGAAAGACAAAAGTAAGCACTATATAACAAACCTGGTGATACCCACTCGCCCAATTATTTCCAGCACCACCTCCATGATCTGAGACAAATATATTCTCATGATTGTAGAGATTCCGGTATTCACTGTTTTGAATCCCATTGATGACTCTAGGCTCTAAATCCATCAGCAGAGCTCTTGGTATGTAGTGTTGATCATCAGCTTGATAGAAAAACACATCTTTCCTGTCACCACCCTGTAACATTCCACAATGGGGAAATAAGCCAAAGTAAATTTTGCCTAATGACCTACACATAAAGCTGAACACAAAGTCGAAGAGTGGCATACATAAACAGTAGAGAAGTAAAAGTATTCATGAAAGCTTCATTTAAAATTATAAAAGAAATAAAATGCATCAAAATTTCTCCAATGGACCAAATGCACACAAGCCTAAGTGAACAATAGGGTTGAATGAGTGATACTATTCATATAAGGCATTTCTGTATAAGATTGCAACTTATTGTGTACTACAATATCATGCAGGAGCATGTTTCTATACCATCCAGTCAGAACTCCAAAACTCATTTTTAATCTATAATCTGCATATATACTTGAGTTTCCTGAAAGCTGATAATAATGTGTATAACTAATCAGATTAGTTTCATTAGCACCGCTAGTACAGAAAATTCTTTTTTCTGTACAATGCAGAAAATTTCAGTGACTAGCAAGACTTTTCAGAAGGAGAAAAAATAATCTAAATACTTTGCATTTCAGGAGATCACACGATCAAAAAGTGCCTTAACAATTTAACTGGTCGATTAGACTAAAATGAGAAGGATAAAACATCAAATAAGAGAGAATCTCAACAGAAGATTCAGAAGAAATGACTTTCTATGGTAGAACATTTCTACGATACGAGAAGTTCAGAGGTCAATCTAACAATTCAACCTAATAATTAGCTTTGAAACAATATAAGCAAAACACAACATAAAGGAGTAGAATTAACTCAAGCCAAGAAATTTAACAACAACAACATCAAACAATTCTGTGACATCAATTTTTTTTCAGAAAATAAGTCTCCTGTTGCTGATCTAACAGTCGACCTATTAATTATACTGAAATAAGCCACAATAAAGCAAGCAAGAATGTGGAATCAGAAGAAAAATAAAAATTTCGGAAAGGACAAGTAGCCAGTGAAGATCAAAGAAAAGGAAAACAACCTGAGTAGCGAAATCTTCGAGAATCCCTTCTTTGCTGATGCCGTGTTCGAGGCACAGCTGCTTCCAGAACTCCATTCCGATCTGATTCCCACATTGTCCGACTTGCAAAGTGATGATTTCTCGAGGCATTTTTTAAACTGAAATTTGAGGCTTACAGGGAAGGATTTGGGTTTTCTGCTTCTTGTTCGTCTCCTTCTTCTTCTTCTCTCTCTCTATCTCGTCGCGGGACGTTTTGGAAAAGAGGGAAAAAATTAAAAAAAAAAAAAACAGTCTAATATAGGTGTGCTGGACCAGCATGGCCCATATATATTTTATATATAAATTATATAATAATATATAGTATATAATATATTAATAAAATAAATATTTTTTTAAATTTATTATACTTTCTTATTTAATTATTGTATATATAAGAAATTTTATATATCAAAATTCATATAAAATTAAAATTTTAAGTTTTTTCAATTTTTTTAAATAAATAACTTTAGCCCGGTCCACAACCCAACCTGGCTCAAGGCATGGGCCCACATAGGCTCAGGCCATAAGCCGTGCCGGGCCAACCCCCCAAAAGATCCCAAGGGAGGGAGGCACGGCCTGGGACGGCCTACAGGCCACGCCGTTTTACACCTCTAGTTTTACTCATGTTTTAAAAATGGGAAAATTCCTTATCAATACCCTATACTTTGGTTTGAGTGACAGTTTGGTCTCGAAACTTTAAAATGCGACAATCCAATACCTAAACTTTCGAAATGCGACAATCTAGTACCTGTCATTAATAGACTATCAGTTATATATATCACGTGATCTCATATCATCATGTGTGGTTTAAGACTTTTGAAAATGTCAAAATTACCCTTGAAAATAAAACACATTATTCATCATCTTCTTCCTCAATAACATGAAATAGAACCCAAGCTCTCTGTCACAAACACCCAAACCCTTCTTGCATAGAATGATAGACGGTCCTCCAAACTCTTCTATCAAATGCCTGGTGCACAAAAACCCGGCCAGATAAACCTTTTGGTAAGTTATATAAATACTCTCCATTTTTTAGTCTCATGAAAATAACTGATTTATTAACCTCCTCCTAACATTCCTTGGTCCTTTTCTAATAGCAATGCTATAACGAAATGCTTGACACCATAAAATGCCTCCTCGGTTTAATGGGCTCCAACGGCTTCAGCTCCAAGTCGACAGCCGATAGGTCACCGAAACCTATTCCGTATTATCACAATTCATAGGTGACCCCACTTCTATAGTTACATGTACATTACTATCTTTAGCTTCTATTCACTTGTTTTTTAAACCACTTGACTTACCAAGCGCCACCTCAAGTATCAAAGCTGAGACGGCACGGGTTTTAGCAAAATGTGGTGTCAGGCTTGTTCTCCCAAGAAAGTTGCCGAGGAAGCCAGGGCCGTAATCTGGCTGAGTTTCCAGAGTCTCAAATCTTGTCATTGCTCTCGATATATCTCAACTCTCTTTCTTCTATTCGAACCTTCGTTCTTCGGTTTGAATCCCTCAACTTGTCTCTCAATCTGCTCATGTGAGTCATGTCAGCACCCAAGTAAAAGAAAAATAAACTTGTACTATTTTTCTCTCTTATTATTTACTTTATCTGGTTCGTAATGAACTTCATATAGATGAATTGAAGATTAATCAGCGGATGGTTCATAAGAAAATTAGATGGCACTTGAAGGGTATTTGTATCTTTTTTACATGCCACTCGACTGGTTAACGATAGGTAATAGATTGTCACATTTTGAAAGTTCGAGTACTGAATTGTCGAATTTTAAAATTCGGAAACCAAATTGTCACTCAAGCCAAAGTACAAGGTACTGATCGAGAATTTTTTCTTTAAAAATTGACCTAGAGGTCAAACTATTTTTGCCACATCAGCATCTATATATTTAAAAAGTATATATAATATTATTTTATATTTAATTTATGTTTTTTAATTCAATTTTTTATTTATAAAAAATCATTAAAAATTGTAATTTGATGTCAAAAAATGTTTCTTTTACAAAAATAGCGGGGCAAGCACTAATGGGTCATTGGGGTGCATAGATAGATCTTGAAAAGTTACCCAAAGATCACCCCAATCGGGCACTGAGTGTGCAACCCGTGACTCGGTGATTGGGTCAAACGGGTCGATGGTTGAACCGCTCAGGTTGGTTGATTTTTTACCAAGTCAATAGTTTATGAACTAAATGACGAGTTTTAACATAAGTAGACCCAAAACCCTAGTCGGGTGACGGTTTGAACGATTCAACTGACTAGGTCAATGACGGGTTGAAAACACTGTTTTTACTCGTAATACTCTCATAGTCAAGGCTTAGTGCCAAATATTCAAATAGGCTTCCGAAACCATGGTTCTATTTTTCAAATCGAACTTATATGATCGGTTTTTTGTAAAACGATCAATTGAAAGTTTGAAACCAATCGATTATCTCGTTGATTGGTTTGGTTTTTAGCTAATTTGGTTTTTTTATTTTTTTAGTTTTTTAATATTATAAATATTAGAAATACATTATTATATTATAAATAATAAATGATATATTATATGTTTATATATAATGAATATATATTTATTTATAGTATATAGGTAGTATATATACTATATTAATTGCCAGTTTTTTCATATTGGATAATCGAAATCAAACCAATAGCTTCACCGACCGATTTAATTAATCATAATTTTTTATTCAGTTCCATCGATTTGGTTTTTTTTTTATGAACATCCATCCAGTGACCATTGTCCTCCAACAAGAAATTTAGGCTGTATTTGAGAATAGGGATGTGTTTAGTTGCAATGCAAATAAATTTGCACTAAAACCATGACACTGCAAATGATTTGAGTGTAAATTCTGACCTATTTTTTTTCAAATTTTTAACTTCTTTTGTTTGATTGTAATACACATGAAATAAATTAAGACATGAAGCAGAATAAAGTAAAATCCAAAACAAAATTAAATAAGAATTTGCATTTTTACATTTACACTTTCATGAATTATACTAATGCAAATAAATTTGCATTGTAACCAAAAACAGCCTAATGATCAGTCCAGATGAACTGGAGACAAAATCATATACACCCCGGCTGAACTACTTATCACTGTTGAACATGCCATTGCTCACTATGGGCCCCATTTAGGATCCAGTAATACTGAACACTGGTGTGTTCAACCATGATAAATAGTTCAGCCGGGTGTGTATGTTTTTGTCTCTAGTTAATCCGCTCTCCCTAATGATATGTCGAATTTATACAAATATGAGCTCCGGTTCAGGTTGGCTAACGTTTGGTAAGAGAGTGAATATATATTTCAAAAATCCAACTAAATATATGTTTCTACTTCCATTTAGCAAAGAACTGTATCAACATTTGAGAGCAATGGTAAGTCAGTAACCTTCGACAGTTCGACCTCCCTACAATACCGACGCCAAACTCCAAGATAAAGTTCAAATTAGGGGTGAGCAAAAAAAAAAAAAAAAAGAACGAAAAACTGAATCATCGACCGAAACTGAACAAAATAATCGATTAACCGAACTGGTCGGTTCGGTTTCTATTAGCCATTTAAAAAATTGGCGGTTAATTGAAGCGACTGATATATATATATAATATTATATATTATATTTTTTATTTTTCAAAAAGGTTTGACAGTCTAAGAGACTTTCAATTTCAGCCTCTCTTTGAACCAATTGAAAGTTCGACAATCTGCTAGAGTGCCAGACTGCCAGTCTCACTCTCTTCAAAACTATGCCAGTCGGCCACTGTCAGACTTTCTTTGAAACTCAAAACGACTCAAGCCTTTTTGTCTCTTTGAAGTTTGAAATTCGAAACCAAACCTTCTCAGCTTCTCTCACTCTCTGTCTTTTCTCTTGTTTCTCTAGTCTCTCCGTTCTCTTTTCAGTCTCTCTTACTCTTCTAATCTTCTTCGACTCTTAGTATTTCTTAGATTATTGCGCAGTCCGCGCCAACCACCAGCACCAAGCGGCAACACCGGTCGCCGCTTCATCAGCAAGCAAGCACCAACACCATTCAGTGTCATTGGTAGTTTTGAAGCATTTGTCAACTACTGGTGGGCGATGGTTTTGAAGCATCTGTCGACTACTGATGGGCAGTGGTTTTGAAACATCTGGGATCCTTCTCTCTCTCTCTCTCTCTCTCTCTCTCTCTCTCTCTCTCTCTCTCTCTCTCTCACCTCTCCTCTTTGTGGCTCTGCTAGCAACCACCAACACCAACCAGTCCGGCACCGACAACAACCACCAACAATTTTATGATTTCTTTTTTTTTTTATATTTTAAGTGTATAAAAAAAACGAAAAACCAAACCACCGTTAACCAATTAATCAATTGCATTGGTTCAATTTCAGTTCGAATATTTAAAAAACCGAACAAATCGATTAGATTTGAAAAAATACCCCACGGTTCGATAACGTGAGCATCCTAGTCAAATATCACACCCAACAATACTTTAGACGAGATTTAAAAGCCCCATGCTCATAACAAAATATCTGACAAAAGAGAAATGAAAGCTAGCCTGTGTAACAAAATTAAATATTTTGCGCTTAATTTGAACGAAGGTCACGATTAATTCAAACAACAACCTATGAGCATCAACAATAATCCCAACTACCTTTTCCATGGAATTGGTTTTCGGTCCAAATTGTAGAAGATTGACAAAAGTGAGATAGCCTCCAATGATAGAAGGGCGTACTGCCACTATAATGTGATATTTTGATGCCAACATGTCTGCCATCGCCTCTACCATATACCATGCTTCAGGTGAGAGGTATGCTCCATTTTTTAACACTGCAACACAGGCACCAGCCACAATTCCGCTCCAATCCAATCGTATCAGTAGGGCTGTGAATGGATCGGCTCTGACCCGATGTATCCAAAGCAATTGGGCTTGTTTTGGTTCTTAATATATTATTTCAAATTATCAATTATTATTGATTTAGAATCGGTTCTATCCAGTCTCTCTCTCTTTCCGATTATCATAAGAACCGATTAATTTAGTTGTGTGTTTAAAATTACGGGTCTGATTCAGTTCTCAATCCTTAATAAATTTGTCGGATTGGTTCAGATTCTACCCAGACCCAATCCATTGACAGCCCTAACCCCTAATATCAGTACAACCGCTTTTGACACTGATCGTCTAGAATGTTGTTCCTCGAATCCAGTCATCCACTGTAGATGTCACCACAAGAACAACACTCTTAAGCTCAATCATGAGTTTTGTTTTTTA